TGTCTGGTTCACAGGGAGGGAAATGGTTAAATGACCACAAAAGGACTTCTGTACTGTGACTTGTGAAAATGTGTACAGATTCTTTCCCTTTTGTGGTATTTTCTTAAGCTTTATAGCACTCAAGATGATAATGTCTGATTTGGTGGTGTCTACCTAGTGAGGAGGCTCAGAACAAACCTGTCATCTCTGATGATTTTCTTCTGATTTTCATTCACCTCCTTTGGGTGAAAGTTCAATGAGGTTTTTTTCCACCTGTAGCAAGACAGTCTGCTGTGGAGGGCCATGCATTCCCTTCTGTTGCTCCTAAGCAGTGCATCAGAGCAAAACTCAAATACAGCAAGAGCTTACTGCAGCATTCTGGTGAGTGGAGTTAGTTAGCTAATTGGAAACTGGGAGCAAAATGTTTAAACAACAGACTTCTGAAGATTTTTTTCAAAGTGAAAATATTTTAAGAGAAAAGTGAGGATAAATAGAAATAGAGAGATGTGTTATCAGTTCCTCTGGGGTTATCAGGGGACAGATCTGTCTTCAGTTCAGAGAACAGAAGAGGTTGGTAATAAGATTTCATTTCATGTGAATGTTAATTCAAAAACTATTTTTGAAGAAGAGTTTTTTAAAAACACAAATCCTGCTCAGCCAGATTCTGAAATACAGTTGATTCGAGCGTGGACTGAAAACACTGCATAAAACAAAACATACAAAACTATTTTCAATAATTTAGATAAATTATATTTCTTTCTGCTAATTCAAATATTTGCAGTTATTTGTTTTTTTCATTTTGGTGTGGGGTTTTTTTGCCTGAGTGAATGAATCCAGAATTTTTTTTTTCACTTGGACATAGTTTTATTTTTAAACACTGCTTCCAGAAATGCATGTGTGTGGGATTGCAGTTGGGACCAGTGGAGAGCCGTGGCTCTCTGCCAGGCACTCGTCCTGTCCCTGCAATATAGATGGATTGCCAGCATTCTGGACAAAAACAACCCCAAAAACTTTAAACAAATTATGCTTAATGGAAATAAACTTTTTTTGCCCTCCACTGTAATGATTTGGATAATGTGCTGGCGATGTGTTTCTGGATGACAGGGGAAAGGGGAAGGAGGGAGTAGGGCAGAATTTGAGCTCTGTATGCCTGTGACTTGCTCTCAAGTGGATGCTCTGGGAAGCCTATGGGGGGTCCCTATGACATTTCTAAGCTTGGAACGTTTTTTAGCTCACAGCCAGTCTTTATATTAGAAAGTGAGCAGGCGAGCTACAGCCAGCTATGATAGGAGCATTTATCTACTGGTTGTTTTCTTCCATATATGGATTTGTAAAACCTGGAAAGGCCTATGTCTTGTATCTGGCAATTTCTGTGTACAGCTTTGAGGTTGTCTTCTGTGTCATTCGCCTGAGTTTTGCTGGGTTTTGGTGGTAGGTGACAGTGCTGTGAAACCAATACCTGGTTGGTTGGGGTTTTTTTAAATATAAAAAAGGGCAAGCAGGACAGGCTATAGCCTTTCTCACAGAAGAAAAGACTCCATAGCCATATCTCTCTGTTTTTTCAAGCTGGTGCTGATAAATCTTTTCTCTCACTTCTGTTGCTATGGTTTTAGTTCTGTGCAAAAACAAACCTTTGGGTGATCATGTCAAATGCAGAGATCATTTGGAGAGAGAGATGCTGAAAGAGAAGGGAAGTAGGAGGGCTCAAATTCCAGCTGATGACAAACAATGAATCAGTGTTTGTCTCAGCAGAGGGCCATCAGAAATTTTGCACTGTGTTTGTTCTGACTTCTGCTTGTGTCTGATACTGCACTTGCAAAGGCTCCTTTTTTCCCCCCTCAAACAGTTTGGGGTTTTTTAAAATTCTTTTTCATCTACTTTTAATTATTTTTCTTCTTGGTATATAAAAGGAAGGTGGATCTCTTCCAAATTCCACACAGCCCAGGAATATTTGCTTTCTGCAGCATGACACAGAGAACTTACTATTGCAAATGGTTTGATCCTCCAATCCACAAAACAGTGGATCAAACTTGGAAGGTTTGAGTGCTTGAAATGTACCTGCTGTCCTTGGTGAGCCAATTGAAGTGGTCATTGAACTTCTTACTAGAGGAGCTGCCTTAGTGTTCTCTCATGTCTAGCATTGTTTTCCTGATACAGGGGAAGCAGAGCGCTGTTCTGGGGAAGGGCTTTTTCACACTTTGCAACGTGCAAAGTAGGTGCATTTGGTTTCATTCTCAAAACACACCAGTTGCTTTCAGCTGGCACAACTGTTGTGAAGAATTCTCTTGCTCAGATGTCCTGTGCTTCTGGAAAACACTGCGCTGAAAATGCCTGGGTGTGCCACGAAGGCTTATTTCTATTCTTGGGTCAAGGCTGAAAGGGAGGACTGTTTTCTTGTTTTCTGAATGTTTCTGATCAGATTGAGCTGCAAGTGCAGGAAGAATGTAGAGGGCTAACCAATCTCAAATATTTTGCTTCTCACTGTTTTTCAAACTGGAAGTCCTCAAAATGGATTAATTCACATTTTTATACCTTGGCAACTAAGAACTTTCTGGCCTAGTTAAATGGACCCTTGGTTTTGCTGTTTCCATTCAGATGAGATAGATGACAAAAAACCTCAGGAAAAGCAGTCCGATCATCTGAGACTTCTTTTAAGGATTTTAGCTGACTTTTCTGGAACTTGGTAGCAAAAGTAGGTCATCTCCTTCCATGTGCTTAGCCAAGTTGCAGTTCACTTAGTTTTGCCTTTGTTTTGCAGACACACACACTTGACCTTACCCTTCATGATGCACTACTTGTGGGAGTAAAAATGTGCCAGGACAGCCAGACCGTCTGTGGGCTGCCTCACTAAGCCACAGCTTACCTGTCAGCAAACATCCACGTTGAATTTGTCTTTACCATTGCATAATCTTTGTGTGTAAAAGAGTCTGTTGCCCACCTGTGAACAGTGCCTCTGTTAGTCTTCTCAGAAGGTAGATGCACAGTGTTTTCTAATTGTATTAGAATCTGTGTGAGTATTTCAAAGATAGTACTAGAGTGTCAACCTATAACTCCTAGTAGGAACATACAGTAATGGGCAAGCAAAGGTAGTCTCTGTTGGGAAGACCTGGCAATCTTTCAATTTGCTTTGGTATCATAGATAACTTCAGTTATTCTGTTCAAGCAAGCCTGTTTTTTTTTGTGCCTACACAAGAAAAGCAATTCAGCTACATGTATCTGTTAGATTAGCAACTAGCAAATCATCACAAGGCTAGTAGATCTCTGCTGTTCTACTTTTATTGATGTGTGAGCTCCAGCCATTCTATTTTAGCATTGCCTTCCTTAAGGCACTCCCTAATTCAAAGCAGGGCCATTTCTATAGGGAAGGAAGTTTTATTAGGACAAAACTCAAGCTAACAAGATAGTGAAGACCAGGCTTCTTTCAAAACAGAGCATCAGCAGCCTCTTCTGCCCAGCCCTCCTCTCCCTGCTGTGCGCCCACACCCTTCTATGCCAGAGTTGAATAAAAGGGGTGAGGGTGACAGAGCACTGGAACAGGCTGCCCAGGGAGGTTGAGGAGTCTCCATTTCTGGAGATATTCAGAACCTACTTGGATACAGTCCTGTGTAAAGTGCTCTAGGTTATCCTATGTCAGTGTGAGAGTTGGACTAGATGATCTGTAGAGGTTCTTTCCAACTCCAGCAATTCTGTGATTCTGGTAGCAGTAATGGAAGCATGTTTATAACTATAAAATCAGATGCTAACTTTAGTGAGCACACATCTGTTTACCATTTCAAAAATGTTTCCTGTTTGAAGTTTACAAGGTTAGGTTGCCACTGATGCAGTCAATCTCACAGCTGGGTGAAGAGCAATGATTGACAATGTGGCAGTTTTTGTGCTGTGGGAAGCCCACTGTTGACTAGAAAGTGAGCCAGTTCTGGTACTTGTACTGTACAACTGTTCGAATCTGGTAAGCAGCTTCATGAAGTCATTAGGTTTTTTAGTGACCTTATGGGTCCATAATACATCATCTTGATCAAAGCAGATTCAGCATTAAATTAAAACTGAGTTGCTTAGGGCTTTGTCCACTCAGGTCTTGAAAACCTTGAAGGGTGGAGATCCTACAGCCTCTGTGGGACTCTGTGCTGCAACCAGGCTGTCTTTGAGGGAGATTTTTTTTCCTGTTTTAGTTGGAATCTCCATGGTTTTGACTTATGCCCTGATAAATCTAAGCCCTCACAATGACATTGGCTAGTTCTCTTAGTACCCTTGCATGCATTCCTTCTGGCTTAGTAGCCTTCTTTGCATTAAAATTTCTTCAAGACTTCGCTAACTCAATCCTTTTGTAATACAGGTGGTTCCTCTGCTCCTTAAGCCCTGTCTTGGTACTGGGGACCAAGCCCTGTGACACATCACCATCACTTTTTTTTTACTTCCTATGCTGTCTGTACAGCTCACCTCAAATCTTTGTCCCTCTCCAGATCAGTGCTGAAGTCTGCTAGTGGGAGTGCTCTGGGAGCCGATTTCCTCCCTACCAGCTAAATAGCTGTTACTGCAGCAGGTAGATTTGCAAAGATCCTGAGTCCCTTGCTTTTGCATTGCCTGCATTGCTGTCCTGGGTGCTGTTTTGTGCAATCCCAAAGGGCAAAGGGCACAGCAGGTGTTCCTTTTATTAGTGGTGATAATCTTTGTTGGCTCATTCCATTTCAAGTGTGTGTAAGTACCAGGAAAGAGAGCTGGAGAAGGGAAATGTTGGCTAAGAGTGGAGAAACCGGGGAAGGTATTTGGATAAAGGGTGCTGGCCAATGACTTCACTGCTTTTTCATGGAATTATGTCTACACTGCTGAGAAATAAATGTCTGAGTGAAGTTTTCTCACTTTCAGTGAAATGTAAATTCTTGAGGATTTAGGTAACATACCAAAATAAAGGCAGTGTATAAAGTAAATACCATCTATGTGGCAACAACACCTTGGATGGTGGCAGGGACAAGAACTTCAGGTCTTCTATATTTTAATAAAAGGTTTCTCTCTGGTTTCTTTAGCTCGACCTCACCAAACCCATTGAAGATCAGGGTCCTTTGGATGTGATCATACATAAACTGACAGATGTCATCCTTGAAGCAGACCAGAATGACAGCCAGTCATTGGAGTTGGTTCACAGGTTCCAGGTATGTGGTTCTTTCACAGTCCTTCTGCATTTCAAGCAGGAGGATGATCTTGGTGCAGCACAATCAATGTTTCCCATGCAGTTGGTAGGGTTGGATGAAAAGATCTCCCTGGCATACTGCTGCACTGTTACTGATAGCCCAGCAAAAATAGTTTTGTCAGTTTAAAATGGACTTTCACCTTCAGATAGGTTTTATGTTGTATTGTTAGAGTTAGTAGGAACTGGTTTCCTACCAAATGTTGTCCTGACATAATTACAAGAGCATGAATGCTGTTCACAAAGAGGAACAAGTGTTTGCAGAGTCCTTTACATGCACATCTCCATGACAGAAGGTACTAAAATAGTTTGGCCTGGTTCTGTCTAGTCTTCCCAGTTGCTGGAATGCTAATTTCTGTAACATCAAGGTTACTGTGCGTGATTCTGTCCTCTAGTGCTGAGAGTCCTGCCTCTTAATTTTTTTTCCTTCAAGTTTATATTGAATGTTAGAAATATGCAGGACATAGTGGTAGAGAGAACTGTTTTCCCAAAGAAATTCTATCAGTAGTGTGGATGCTGATGAAAATTATATTTTCATAATTTTATGGAATATGCTTATGTCAGGTTAAAAAATAGCTCAGACAAGTTCGGTTTCTAGGGAAATTATGTTCTCTTTGCTCTGCTTAATGTTCTAAAACTAGTAATGCATAAAATATTTTACTTGATGGAGTAAAATTTTACTTGATTATCCATGAGCCAGCAATGTGCCCTTGCTGCCAGGAAGGCCAGTGAATCCTAGGTTGCATAGAGAAGAGTGTGGCCAGTCAGTCGAGAGAGGTCATTCTCCCCCTTTACTCTGCCCTGGTGAGGCCACATATATGGAATATTGGAATATATGCAGTATATGGAATACTGCATCCAGTTCTGGGCTCCCCAGTTCAAGAGAAACAAGGAGCTGCTGGAGAGAGTCCAGAGGAGGGTGATGAAGATGACTGGGGGATTAGAGCATTTCTTTTATTAGGAAAGGCTGAAAGAGCTGGGACTCTAGGCTGGAGAAGGGAAGGCTGAGGGGAGACCATATCAGTGTATATAAGTATCTAAAAGGTGAGTGCAAGGAAGATGGAGACAGACTCTTCTTAGTAGTTCCCAGTGTCAGAACGAGGGGCAGTGGGCACAAGTTGGAACATAGGAAGTTCCATTTAAATATGAGGAAAAACATCTTTACAGTGAGGGTGACAGAGCCCTGGAACAGGCTGCCCAGGGGGATTGAGGAGTCTCCGTCTCTGGAGACATTCAAAACCTGCCTGAATACAGTCCTGTATAAAGTACTCTAGGTTATCCTATGTCAGTGGGAGAGTTGGACTAGATGACCTCTAGAGGTCACTTCCAACTCCAGCAATTCTGTGATTCTGTGAGTCACTATTCTCTTTGTTCTAGTTACAAAGCTTTTCTGCTTCCTTTCACCCGTGTGTTACTCAAACACACACACAAAGGTTTGACTTGTAGGTCTGGCCCTCTGGCACTAGTTCTCTGAATAGTAGATCATTTATTGCTAAGTAGTGCAGGCATCCATGTCCCACAGCACTGGGAGCTTGTATATGTCTGAAGAAGCATAAGGAGAGATGGACTTCAGGGGCTTTCTGATCTCAGTATTTCCCTCTTTCAGATGTTAACTAGTTTGCTTTCACAATAAATCCATCATCGATGGGAAAAACTGATGACCAAAGAGGCAAAAGGCACATCTGTTAAGTTGCTCACGCCTGATCAGGACTCATGAGATCACTCATTCCCAATGTTTTTGTTGTTGCATGCACTCCTGAAGGCTCTGTGGGGCACAGAGAGCAGTAATTACTGTCTCAGTTATCCTCTCGTGGACATGCTGGTAGGAAACTTGTGCAAGCATTGTAGAGCAGCTGGTGTGCCACAGTACAATCAATATCTAAACCCCTTTTATTCCTGGAAAAGAACTTTTCAGTGGAGACAGAATATTTTGTAAGAACTCCAGGTAGTCAGCTTAGTGTATTTCATAGCTGAAGGTCACAAGCTGGCACTTTCTCCAGTATCAAAATGAGGTCTGGAGGAAACAGCAGCAAGTATAGGGGATGCAGTTTCCTAAAGCTGCAGTTAACCACGAAGATGAAGTTTGGTATGAAACAGGGCAGAACACTTTGCAGACAGAGCCTGAGCTTTTGCTGAGGACTTAGTGGGCTGTTCTTATGTGTGACAGCTGCTGGAAGGCTGGTAGAGGTAAAATGACCTGCTAAAGCTATATTCCCTAACCCTTATTTCTTAAAGTAGTCACGGTGTAATACCTTGACATTGTTCTGCATAGCTTTGTTACTGTTTAAATTACTTATTCTGTTTTTTTTGTATAGGCTAAATATTGAAGCTTTTTTGAAAAGGATATTGTAGTTAGAAAATCTCGGTGAAAATATTACTTAAATGAGTTTGTGGGATAGATTCTAGGAGAGGTGAGAAGGAAGCATTATACATGGATAAATTATTCATATATACTTAGGGATAAATATTAATTTATTCTTTAGTTCAGCAACTTTAGTTTAGTCTTTTTTTTTTTTTCCCAATGGCATTTGAAAAAGAGTAATGTCACCTGAATAGAGATGCAGTGACCTAAAACCAAACCCAGAAATATCCCCATATGAAAAAAAATCAACATCCAATCAAAACTGTAACTACAAACCAAAAACTCAACTCCTCCAACCTGAAGTCTCTCCTAAAAATCACTGATCTAATAAGACATATTTTTTTCAAGTGATAATATCAAATACAGCAATATTTCTTAACTACAGACTATTTAAAGTGAAATTACTGATTTAAACTTTTATAAATTATTAATAGTTTGCATTTAACTGTTAATACAGCATAAAAATAAGGAATGCGTGTGCATATATGGTTCCCATTTTATAAGCTTTTGTCAAGAGGAAGGTATTTTATATAGTGCAGCTTGGATGTTTTTTCAGAAAGTAAGATACAGTTTGGTTTCAGTTCAGAATTGCTTATTGCAGAGATCTCAGATTTCTGCATTATTTTACAAAATGTACATGGTGGCAGGGGCAGGAACAGAAGACAAAGCTTTGCAAAACTTGAAATTGTTAATTTCTGTTAGGTTTACCTAATCTGTTTGCTACTGGCATAATGGTGGCATGGATTTTACCATCTGGATCTTTTGGTCACACACACATTGTGCTTTCTCTGGTATTTCAGTTCTGTCAGTTCATCAGCTGGTGCTGTTTCTTCACCTTACAGGCTAAGCCCAACCTGCATATTTAGAGATATCTTGCAGTCCTTAAGAGCTAATAGTGGTTAGAGGAGTGTTCCTGCAGCCTGTTAGGCTGTTAGCCTGAATTCAGGGTGGATGCTGAAGGGCTCTTTGGTAAAACCAGGTATACTTCCAGGAGATTTAGGTCCTCTGTACGTCCACGCTTCAGGTGGAAGTTTCTAGAGATACATACATCAGAAAAAGCTGCAGACCCCTGATTTACAGGAGTATTTTTATTGGGCCAATATTACAACCATTGCTAGTGCTGGCAAATCTCACTTGAGCTGTCTCATTTTGGAGCAGCTGGGAAGTAGTTGTATTCAAATCCTGTGTACAGTGGTACGTGGCACGGGACCCCTCTGGCTTTATGCCTGGTGGCAGCTGCCAGCTATTAGTGTATGTTCCTCCTCATTGTTCCTGCGTGGCTCACCTTTCAGGCTGTGCCCTCGATCAAAGGTTGGAGTCAGTGCATTGTGCTTCCATTTCACTGCAATTGCTGTTTTCAGAGATGTGATTGTGTCCTACAGCTAATTTATGGAAACATTCCCATGTCTCACAGGCTGCATAGCTCCTCCTGTGTTAAAACTGGAGCAACTTGTTTGAAACAGTTTTAAATCATAGCCTTAATAAAAGCTGGACAAGTAAACACATATTGCATTAAAATTGTGTTGTATCTGAGTATAGCCTTGTGTGCAAGTTAACAGTTCAGCCTTGCCTCGCCTCTCCATTCCATTAGAAGTAATAAATCAGGGGTGTCACCATATTCAAGGTGATTCCCTGTTAAAGGAAGTTGTATAACAGCATCCCTGTGTTGTGTTATTTCTGAGGACTGTGATTACAGCTCTTGCTATCTTAGCAGTCACAGAGCTTTCTTTTCAGTGGCCTCTGATGGAAACCAGTAAGAAACCTTCCCTTACACTTTGAGGCAAACAAATCTTGCTGTCTTCTATGTTTCCTGACCCAGCTCTTCTCTCCCATACTGCCAAGTTAATCTCTTTTAACATCACCTCCCATGTCTCCTGTGCCTGAGTTTTTTCTTGGCAGTGTGCTCATAATCTCACACAGCATGCACAATAACGGGTGAGCTATTGGGTCATTGGTTGGAGTGGGAATATGGTCCTTGTGACACACTAACTGGTGTGGAAAGGTGAGAACAGTCTTTGATCCCACAGTTATGGAGAGTACTGACAGAGGTAGTTGATACAGCATGTCAGATTATTTCTGTAGGATTTGTATAGTGATAAATTGATTTAAATACCCACACAGCACAAAAGCATTCAGTTACATTAGATATTTTTGCAGAATTGTCTGCTGCCTTCTAAGAAAAACAGAATGAATGGGTGAAACAAGTTGAGCTGAAACAGTTTGGGGTTACAGTACAAGACAGAAATAATTGTAATCCAGAGACAAGATAACATGGTTGAAATTCAGCCTTCTGTCTGTTACCATTGCTGCTATTTTGTTGCTGTAGAACACTTAGGTCCTTTTGTGCCTCAGCTTACCACCACCCTTTCATAAATTGGTCTGTATTTCTTAATAATGGACTTAATAATTTTCCTGTAAATATCAGTATTCATGAAAAAAAAAACCTGTGGTTCTTGTGAAGCTATTTCGTAGTAGACTGATGGGAAGCTGAAACATTTTTTAGTTCTGATAAAGCTGGAAATTTGCATTCTGTGTCAAGTGTTGTATAAAGCAAAGGTATTGTTTACACACCTGGAACACATACTATGTGTAAGTCATCACCC